TTGGCCTTTGTTGAAACATTAGAAAAACCTTAGCAAAGTTACAGAGTTGTGACAACTCAAATCCATCAAAACTAACCAGGAAAGATGTTTCTTTATGTGTAAGTACAGATGTTGACTTGCTGTGATCAGCAGCTGTTTAATTTTCCATGTCCTGTTTGCCCAGACTTAGACCAAACTCAGAGAAAAATAAAAAAAAACATTTATTTTTTATCAACTGCTAAATGTTATGTAATGGATAATTGCCATCATGTAATTATTGCATGTTCAGAACATACTCATGATGAAAAAAACTGACGCTGTGTGTTTATGTGTCTTTTTTTGTAGTTCATGCAAAGGGGTTTGGATTCACAAACTAAAAAACAACTAGAAGAGGAAGAAAAGAAGATAATTAGCGATGAACACTGGTATCTTGATGTACCAGATCTAAAGGAAAAAGAGTAAGCTGTAACCTTTTGTACTTCTTAGCATCATTGGATTGTTTTGAAATGGAAATACTATATTCGTATTTTTTTCTATAAAATAAATATTGCTAATGAACAGTTAACAGAAGCCAAAATAGTAAGAGACTGGCATTACAACTTTATTACTTACTTTCAGGGCTGTTCTCAAGGTTGCCTAGTGTAGTTTGACCTACTTTCAATTCTTGTGTGTGTTGTTTTCTTTCACTCACACATTGTTCTAGATGCATATAATTAGTTTCTTTCAGTCAGAGACCTATTCATTCACTGATGCTTTTTCCCTTCATTTGAAAAAAAAGAAGTTTGAAACTTTGTGTTTGTAAATTCAGCTCCAGTCACACGGTTAAGTTCATTCAGGACAGTTCTGTCTTCTTGTGTCCAGCTCACTTCAAATCCTGTTTTTGAAATCGGAGAGATAATGGCAAAAAGAAAGGAAGGCTTAGCTAACAAGGAAGAAAATGTCCTGCTCTTTAGAAACGTGCTTCAAATAGCAGGAAAACCACTTTTAAAACTGCTTGGGTTTCATCCTTTCACAAGTGTAAAAAAATTCCATTGAGGGAGAACATACATAGTTTTGAAAAAGCTGGGACCCAAGGAATTAACTGTAGTTGAATAAGGTCATTGATAAACTCTTTTCCGTTGCTCTTGGTGGATATGACAAAAAGGTATTTGAGCTTCAGTTGCAGCAAGGCAGGTTCAAGCTGGACATTGGGAGAATTTTTCTAACAATAAGGCTATTGAAGCTCTGGAATAGATTGCCTGAGGAGACACTGGATTCTTCATCATTGGAAGTCTTTTGAGGACAGGTTAGGTGGACCTCTGCTGTTCATGGTACATGTTTAACTGATACTGCCTTGAGGTAGGAGAATGAGCTTAATCTCTTCAGCCTAAGTTCCTATGGTCCTGAGAGTTTGTTTCACATGGGAGATGAAGAGGATGGGGGAACAGGTACATACGTGTGTGAGGAAAAGAAGGAAGGAACAATTCATGGAAATACTTTTATCTAGCACATGTATTGTGAACACCTCAGGGTCATGTTTCTTTTCTCACTCCATGCTCATTAGAGGAGGAAAAAAAGGAGAGAGAAGGGGGAAATCTGTCCCTGCTGAACAGAGAATGACACAGTGTTTTATGTCCTGGCAGACTCAAACTAATGCCAGGTCTAACAGCACAATGAAAAATTAATTAGAAGCTTTTGCTAGTATAGTAATGCCACCTGGAGAGTGATATTTATGTGGTATTTTTATTCTGGCAAAAGTATTGATGTAGGTGGAATCATATCAGCAAAGAGTGCTTTTTTGTCAGGAGAGTTAATTTTGCATGTGGAACTGGCACAGTCTTCCTGGCAAAAAGTATTCCTTTGCACTCCAAGCTCCTTGTACTGACAGATTTATCAGAGCAATTAAGCTTCAGAAAGTGGTTGATGGTATAAAATACACTGGTTTTGTTTATTTGTGTGGGGGGAAAGGCAGCAAATCCTTTTTGCATTTGTTTAATTTGATTATTTTAAAGTGCACCATTTGACAAGATGCTGGGTTTGGGGTTTTGTGCAGGAGCTGTATAATAGAAGAGAGAAGCTTTGTGCGATGTGAGGATCTAGTTTATGGCAGAATGTCCTTCAAAGGATTCAATCCAGAAGTTGAGGTACTGTTTAAATGTCCTGGTTTGAGGTGGTCTCGCATTGGGATTGAAAAGCCCTTGGGGGTGGGGATTTGAGTGTTCACACTGCATCCTGTTTGGCCTTTGCAGCACCTTCCATAAATCCTCTTGTGCAGGAACTCCATGATTCAATCCAAAATGTTGGATCAATGCAGCATCTGGTAAATAGAAGCTTTTTATCTCCCTGTGCTGGTAGTCAGTAATTGCATGGCTCCTGCAGATTTTCTCTCCCTGAAGTGGGGAAACCATCCCACATGCTGCTCACCAAAACAAAAGCTCACTTTTCCTCCTGACATTTAATGCAGAGTCCAACCTACAAACATTCAGTCCTATTTATTCAACGCTTACTTGTGTGAGGTCTTAGAGTTCCAAAGTAAAAGTGCTGGGAAAGAGAGTCTTTAATTTCTTTCTGGCATGATTCATGCAGATAGAACTACACAGGGACAGTAATAAAAAGGTTACCCCTGAACTGAAGCAAGAGGATGAAGGTGTAAAGACTAAGAGGTTTGCAGAAGGCTATGCAAGATGATTTACTAGGGGATTCTTTTAGTTATTTTGAACTTGCTGTCCCTGTGACTCAGCATCTCATTGCTTCCTGGCTTTAACTGTGAATCCTTGCAGATATTTTTCCCTCTTAACAAAACTATTTCAAGGACTACGTGGTAACTTCACAATGAAAAATTAATTATGATCTAATTCTCTGGTCTCCTGAAGATGTTTGGAGTGCCCCTTAGGATGTTTGAGTACCACAATACACTGAAAACACTCTCTCTGTGTCGCCTCTTTTCCCAAAGGCAAACTCTAAGCTCAGCTTAGCAACAGACAGGCATGTTGCCTTTTCTTCATGGGTTTTCCCAACAATATGCTCAAACCTGGCCAGGTACAGCAAATAATTATTAAATTTGATTCTTACCTTTTGTGTGCTTCTTTCAGCACAGTTGCCACTGTGACATGGTTACATATTTAAGCTGTTTCTTACTTCAATTTCAGAAGTTAATGATCCAAATGAACTCCAAGTGCAAAGAAGAAGAAATTGAAGTGGATGATAAAATGGAAGCTGATGTGTCAGATGAAGAAATGGCCAGAAGGTAAGTTGTATTTTATGACATAATGAACACTAGCTAGGAATGTGATATGTTACTGTATTATGTGCGGGGAATAAAACCCAAGACACAAACAAACAAAATAAAACCAAAGAAAAAACCAAAACAGACTGTACAGAACTGATTTTCCAAGAATGCTGATTTATATTCAGTGGAATCTCCATCACTTTTGGGGATAAAATAACTTCTGCCCTTTGATATCTGGGTATTCTATACTACTCCCCTTTACCAATTGCTAAAAAATTCAGATTGTCAGAATGAATAATCTAATAAACCATCATGTAATACTTGTGCTTCTCAGGCTTTTAATGACCAGGTTTTTTACACCACTTAAATTGTTGATTAGATTTATGATTTGCTCCATTGAATTTTTTTTTCTGATTTTAATAAAAGGTGTAAAACTTTTTATTCTCTTTACAGATACGAGACATTAGTGGGAACAATAGGGAAGAAATTTTTGAGAAAGAGAGACCAACGTGTACTCAAGGATGATGATGAAGATGAGGAAGTTGATGAAGATAGGAACAGTAACATAATACCTAGGAAAAAAGCTAAGAAAATGTTCTTAAAACCTCAGGATTAATGTCAACTGCACAAGTGGAGCCAATAGAAATGTTACCTAATGCCTACCAGAGTATCACGGACTGGAGACTGTTTGGAGATTTTGCTATTTAATGTAAAGGGTGGATTTGTAAATCTGTTCTGTTCTCACTGGAATTTCAGCCATCCACGACAGACATTTTTCAAAGTGGATGTGTCTATAATGGATGTCATACATCCTTTCCTCCCTCAGCAGCTTTTAACGTGTGGGGCACTAATCCCACCAGTCTTTAAATGTTGTGCATAACTAGATCAAGTGTTACATGCAATGTTTTTTTACAATTTAAGATAACATCTGAAAGAAGTATTCAGAGTAAAGATGAGCTGTGTCCAATTCAGTAAGGCAGCTCAGCTTCCACTGCTTTCTTTATTATGAAAATGAAAACCTTTGCTGTCTTCAAATTGAAAAAAGTCAGCAGAAACATGTTTGTCTTGTGATTTTTTTTTTTTAACTGTGCTAAAAATAAGATGGGAGAAGAACAGAGAGATAAAATCCACTTTATTGAATTTTATTTTTTATAAAGTTTATTTAAAAATAGAGGATTTTGTAGCGCAACTTTTTTTTTATAGAGCAAGCCAAATATTGGGCAACGTTTACAACTTGACATTTGAGCAGATTGTGAGTCTTAGTTTCTGTCTTCCAGAAGAAGTTTGCTCATCTTGCCTCTTTTTCAGCAAAAAAATCCAATCTTATAATTATCCAAGTCTTGTCATAAAAGCATAATAATGGCTTCAGAAACATGCTTGAAAGCTGAATAAAAACTGTGATTTTTTGGGCTTTATGATTGTGGTTTAGCTTATTTAATGTAAAAAAAAAAAAGATGCTTAATACAGTCTGATATAAGAAGTGATCCTGTTTTGTGCTGGCCACAGATGTCCCAAATACTAGTTGAGTGCACTGATTTGTTCAGCATGTGATGAAGCCATCTGAAATAACAGTAGGAGGAAACATCATGTCCTTTGGTCAGTCAGTGCTCTGAAAAATGTCAGTGTGGTCTTGCCTAAAATCACAGCAGTTCTCTGTGAAATGCCTTTCAACATAAAATACTGCTATTACTGCATTTGCTCAGGATGTCTGAGTTACTCATCCTTAATGCTGACTCTCAGGAGAAAGAGGAATGGGTTAAACTGAAGTGAGGAGTGGCCATTCTGTCATGGACACAAGAGGCTTTTTTTTTTATTCTTCTTTTTTTAGCAGCTCAGTGAAGCAAGACGTGAAACTCAATTATTTAAGGAAGGAGACACTGTGTCCTGCTGTATTTTGCATGTGATATATAAACTATAATCTATATATCAGGAGCACCTCATTAGATATTCAAGATGGATCACACATGGCAAAAGAAATATACTTTTAACCTAGTAAGGGGACCTCATGCAGGTGGAAAGGCTGTGATTCATGATCTGAGATAGTTTTTCGGAGCTAATTAAATGCTACTGGTTCAATTACTTAAAACCTGATCATATATTATTGCTAGCTGAAAAGAAGTTAATGATGGCAAGACATTTTTCTTCCCATGCAAGATGTGACCTGAGCTAAGAAATGATTTATTGTTGGTCGTCACAAGAAAAACTTGGAATATATCCCATTATTCTTTCTTGCTTATTAGTAGGAAAATGATTCCTCTCTCTCTCAGAGCACATTTCTTGAATGGAGAGCAAATTTCTGCATGGCTGTGCTGGATAGTTGAGGGGTAAAGGATGTTCTAGTGAACCACCAACAACCAGGAGATGTCACTGCAATTGCACGTCCTGAGAGACAGTGCACGGGGGAAGTTCCTGGTGGTGCAACATAAAGGAGTTTTTGGATTATTTTGATAACCATAGTGGCTCAGATGAATTCCATGTGAAGTCTGCCTTTGCCAAGGCTCCGTGCAAAGAGCTCTCCTGGATTGCAGCGTCCTGTCCAGTCCAATGGGAGGTAATTTTGAGCAGTTAAAGGGCATTCTGCCATCTGTTGGTCCTTAATTTCATGTCATTTCCCTAGGGATAGCTGGAAAGGTGAGTGGCATGGTGCCTGAATAAGCACGTGAGTGAACGCTAAACAGCTTCCCAGAAAATCCATGATTTTGGAGTCAGGAGAGGGGGAGGTAGTTCTGCTGTTTCCTAAATAATGTTCAACACCAACTGTGAAGAAATGGTAGATTTCAGTTTATTGTCTTTAAATCTGGGTGCTTTGCTGTTCACATTTAGCTGGTGGCTCAGTGAGCTACTGAAATGCTACAGTAAGAGCAGCTACTCATTTTTAGCACAATCTTTTATTCATGGGGAGTTTGTAAAATGTGCCTTTAAAAACACCATCCATAGTGCACTATTGGGAGCAAGACAAAACCAAAAATCAGCCCTACATGACTTTAAATGTACTTTAGATGCCCAAAGTTACAAGCAGGTGTATTATAATGGGCTCTTCTGAAATACCTGTCTGCATTTCCAATTGTATAAATATGTATATATACGTATTTATATAAGTCTGGCTCTGGCTTCCTACCCAAGGTGGAAACATTCTGCTGTACAAAATCTGTGCTCAAGTACTCTTGATAAAGATGTAAGTGTAGCAGTGAAATATTCATAAAGAGAACCTATAGTAATTCCAGCTTTCTTGGCTCTGACAGACTCAAATGCATTTTCATGTGCGAGTTCCTAAGCTGTAGAACCTTCCCACGTGGTCACGTTTCTAAAGGAAAAGTGAGAACAAAAGTTGGGTAAGTAGCATTTTTATTAAGGAAAGTGGCTCCCTGCAAAATGTAGCTGGTGTTACCAGGCACCAGAAGTGTTTGTGCCTGTGACACCGAGGTACCTGTTGGGGTGAACAAAGCAAAGTGTGGGTGTCGTTGGTGCTCACAGTGTTAGGTCTGTCCCTTGTCAGGTGAAGTTTGGTCCTTTGGCAGGCTCACGGTGTTTATTTCTGGGGTTGGAATCATGGAAGTACTGAACAGTAAAACTTTGTCTTTCTTGCTGATGTTTCTCATTTTGCTTTTATTCTGCTTAGTGTTGGATCTTAAAAAGTCCAGGACCAGAGTCCAACTGAAGTGAGCCATCCTGTGTCCTCCCTTTAGTAATGCATGAGCTGATTAAACTTTGGTTCTTTGGGGAGGGGCAGGATGTTCAGCGGTGCCATGGAGTTTGAACCGTGTTTCTTGTGTCCTGTGTCTTGTTTTCTAATCAAACACTCCATTATGCAATGCTACAATGGCTGTCATTGCCACTGGGCATTGCGTGTGTGTGTAATGGGCAGCTGGGCTGGGATTCTGGGACTTAATCCAGCATTTAGACTTAGAAAAGAAATTGTCTTATCTTTCTCTTAATTGGAATACCATACTTTTAAATTGTATTTGGAATTAGACAAGTCTGGGGGCACGGGGGATGTTTCTAAGCATTTGTTTTGCTTCATTTCAACAACAGTCCACAACTAAAACTGCAAAATCGTTTAGGCTCTTATTAAACCCTTCTCAGAGAGTGTTAATAAAGCAAAGTGGTGGTGAAGGATGTAACACATCCCACAGTTCCTTCTGAATGTGAATGCAAGTTTCTGTGAGAGCTGATGTTTTAAGGACCTGGGTGTTTCTTTTCAGGATGGGATAACATCAGCTTGTACAATAATGCCTTGCTAATGGAACCCCAGCATGAGGCCCCCGGGTTTGTTTGTTTTTATTTAGTTTTATGACATTCTCATCTCACACCTTTGAGGCACTTTTGGTTTGGCATTCACACCTCAATAACCTGCTTTCCTCAGCTTTTGGGGAGCTTTGGTTAAACTGTGAAACTGTTTCTTAGCTGTATATGTTGGCATTTATTTGTGTGAGTTGATGTTGCACAGTGAGGACCTGGTTATAATTGTCACATCAAGAGGAGAAATCCCACTCACAGTGGTTATCAACAGATGGATTCAAGGAGAGGGTTGAAGCTTCAGTCACCATAGATTTTTAATATGAACTGAACAGTAGAAGGAGTTGAATCCCGTTATTGGAGGCACAGTTAAAAATGCTGATATGAGTCCACAGACCTCTGCTCAAGAAACCTTTGTATTATCACAACCCAAGCAATTATCTGGGAGCAACAGCAGGAACACCTCTAGAGAAGCTGGGAGGCAAAATAACCACTCTGTTAATGACTGTCCTCAAGAGGGAGCAGCTCCAGAAAACAGCTGTAGTTCACTGCGTCCAGAAATATGGTTTGGTTACCTGGGTGAGTGCAGATGGGAATTTCCATCGGTTAGAATGAGTGTTTCGAAGCTTGTAATGTCCCCTGAGGTCTCAGGGAACACCTCGTAATTATCAATCATTTAGAAAAGGGTAAACCCCCTTAATGGGACCTTAATATAAGAGAATAATATGAATACAAATTACCCAGCAAATCCCACAGTTTCATTATTAATAGAAAAGCTGTGTTCTCACCTCAGTAAGATCTCTGTGTCCCCTGTCACCTCTTGCTTGGCTCTCAGTTCCTCATCTCTGGGCAACGACAAGTGCACCCAGGCCATCAGCTGCCACCACAGTCCTAAAGGATTGGAACAGTCTGCCCAGGGAAGTGGTGGAGTCACCATCACTGGAAGAGTTCAAAAAACAGGTGGATGTGGCACTTGAGATCAGGGTTTAATGGCGAACCCGGTGCTGGGTTTGAGGGTTGGACTTGATGATCATAAAGGTCTTTTCCAGCCTTAATGATTGAAGGAAGTTTGAGGTGGGAAGGGTTGCAGGTCGGTATCAGGAGTGAACAGACCCCACTTAGCAGATGGTGTGTGCAGGAGTCATGCAGCTGGGGGCAGCTGTACTTAAAACAACTCTTAATGGTTTTATTTTCCTTTTATTTATTTTCTGGTATACACTTACAGCATTTGTGAGATTAACGATCAGGTGATGCCTTTGAGCAAAAATACACTATCAGTGGGAGGAATCAACATTTGACCAATACTCAGGCTTATCATAGACTGGGGAGAAAGAGTGTTTTTCACTACTTCTGCTATTTTTTTATGTATTTAAGAATGTTTCCCCTTTCTTAGTGGTTTCCTTGCTTGGGCTTTATGCAGAGAAGCATGGTAGGAGGAACAATATTTTTTAAAAAATGGGGAAACATGATTGTGAAATAATTAAAAAAAAAGAGTTTCTTTTAGATTTGGCTGGCTCCTGGTTTTGTTTTCTCTTTGATACAGACGAGCAAACTCCCTTGTGACATTTAAGCTCCTGTGCTAAGCAGTTCCCAGGCAGGACAACTACATGGACTCTCATGTTTGCTATACACAGAGAGGAGAGAATTAAGGATATAGTGGGCTTAGCTTCATTGTTCTACCTTTGTTATACAAATAAAACGCAATGCTAAAAATACAACATTTCCACCCCTTTTGGGACAAAAGTAAATCTAAGCCAGCTGTGACATTTAATCGCCATTTATAGGATGATTACTTATCAGAAGCAAAGCTTGTAGTTATCTCCTTAGAGCCCATCAGCCACAATAACACTGCAATATATAGAATTTTCATCACCAGAAAAACCTGTACATACCAAAAATTACTTTTTGGTAGTTTAGTGCAGTGCAGTAATGGCCAAAAGGATGCACATGATGATAATTTTCATTTTGTACTACATTTTGTCTAAGGATGATAGCGAAAGAATTATGCCTCCCAATGCTCCTTTCAAAGACGACAAAGGTAGAGAAATGACATGAGTGATGAGTGGTCACATCTTATGAAAAATGAAGTTTTAAATGTGTACTTCATTGTGTAAATGCTCACAGATGACTTGTCTCCCTATAATAACCACAGAAAATGTGTTGGCAGCACATCACAATCAATAATCCATACTCCTATTTGTGTGCTACAGGCAGTCCAATATACCCCAGACATATTTCTTACCCAAGCTTATAACCAGATTCAAATCAGATCCTACGTTTGTGCCAAAAATTGAACAGCAGTCATCTCACAGCAAATAATTTTATCTGACTGACTCAAGAGTCTTAAATTCCTAATTTTTCCCAAAGTGAAATTCACTTTAATCCCATATTAATGTATATGTCTTTCAGTCACCTGCAAATGAATCCCATGACCTTGCAGAAGGGATTGCACACACAGTGGAAGGTACTGTACCTACGTAGCATTGTTGTAGGTTTTCCTGATCATCTAGATTGTGTAAGATCCTTTAACATTAATTGGGACAAGTTTTCTACCTAGGGTAATGTTGAATTTCTCTTTGAGGGTTTTTTCCACCTCTTCATCTTCGAGAGTTACAAACTCCACCAGATCCATGTTCTCCTTGTAGTTGTATGTGGTCTCAGTGAACGTCCTCCCAATTAGTGCTCGGAAGCCGTCGGTGGTCTGGAGGGAGCAGATGGACTTCTTTGTAAAGAGGGAATCTGGAGAGGTCTGAAGGTACGTGCACTGGAAACGGAAATCTTCCACTGTCCGTGGCTCAAGGCTGAACATATAAACCTTCCGACACTCTTTTTTCTCCAGGAGGTCAGAATTAGAGAAGTTCTGGTTGGGGATACACTGTTTCCGTCTCATTTTCTCAAGGTACCAGATGGCGTTTTTTTCCGTGAAGCGGAAGACGCCGGGAGCCTGGGGCTGGTCTTTCCCCGACACAAGCTCCATGGGCTGCCACATCTGATAGGACACACCAAAGCCTCCATCAACGATGTAGGCTTTGCCATCAATGACTACCTTTACCAGGAGATGGGTCATGAGGGTGGCATATGTGTTTTGGTGGGGGTTGAACACATATGCACCCAGGAAGCTGGTGTCGTACCCCAGGCTCTTCAGGACCCAGCCCAGCAGCTGGTTGTTTTCCATGCACCAGCCCCCCCGCTTCCTCTGCACGATTTTGTTGTAAACATGCTCCAGTTCCAAAGTAATTTTCTCGCCGCAGTGGATGCTGAGGTTCTCGAAGGGAACAGCGCGGATGTGGTGCTGGAATATATCAGTTAAGGTTTCCAAATCTTGCTTTTCAAGGGAGCCTTTATAGCCAGTTCTTGCAAAATACTCTTCAAGGTTCATGTCACCTGTAAAGGAAGGAATTGCGTTTGGTTTGGTTTCTTTACATCAGTGATGCTGTGAAAAGCTGCCCTGGCTCTGCCAGCAAAGATGCTTTAATCTACTGAACCTCATCAGAGCAGCTCTTAAAGGTACCAAGTATTCATATCAAATGGCTCCCCGGGCAAAGAGCAGTGCATGTGAGAGTTTGCTTTTGTCTGAGGGGCATCCCTATAGCAAACAGCTGATGCCTTTTCAGCTTCATATGTGGTGCCTGTGAAATGGGGATTTGCTGTATTTGCATTGTAACAGCGGGGTTAAGAAGAAATAAAAGATAATGCTAGGGAGTATGTATAAGGGTTCATGAAAAATGGTCTAAATCCTCTGTTCAGTGCAAGGAGTGTCAGTGGGGGGAGCAGTGTCAGCTGCCAGTTGGAGGAAGGATAATTTAAGCCAGGATCCGCATGCTCTTCACATGAGTCTGCCACTGATCGACGTGACAGTAAATTGCTTGTTCAGTACATGATGCTCTTCCACCACTTACAAAAAGTTTAGATGATACTCCTGCACATTTTGTAAAGTGTCAAGTTTTATTCAGATAATTTTAACTGGAAAAATTCTGACCTCTGAAAGAGTCACAGGCCACTGATCTGCTCTACTGCAGAAATGAGTATTGTAGAAGCTCATTTTGGTGTTGGAATAATGAATCCTAATGGAGGTGGGTGACCCCAGAGACAAAAGAGCACATCTGCCCTGCATCTCACAGGGTGCCCTGAAAATGGACATGGGCTGTTTTACACCTCTCCAGGCCTTTCTCAAAACTCACTTTAATCCTTCCAGAGAAGGCATGACTGAGAATTACCCAAGCCTCACACAGTGCAGCCTCGGCCTGTGCTGACTCCAGCAGTGCCCATCCCCTGGCCTGCCTTGGTAGGACTCCTCATGGACAAGATTTCTGGATGAGGAACTACTCAACTTCATTCCTGCCTTCTAATACCATGAAAAGCCACTCACAGTCATCTGGCTTTCACAATGGCCCATCACAGTCTCTGGCCACTGTCATGAGCTGGATCCTTGGTAGGTATCTGGTAGATGCTGTTTGTAAAATACACTGTAGATCATCTGCTTGGGTTTGGAGCTGGGCACAAAATGTTTTGAAGGCTTGAGCCTTTGCAAAGAGAGCACTGAGCGTTTCAGCAGTTCAGAGCTAGTGCAAAACTTTAGCTTCTTGCCAACACACGAAGCTACTTGGAGATCTTTTGTGCATACACAGTAAGCTGAGGTTTAGACACGTCTTAGTGGCTCAGGAAGACTATTGTATTTAGATAAATTCAGCAGTGAATCATTGAAGGTTTACTGCAAACTAGAATTTCTCAAGATGACTCTCAGTGGCAGATTCGTGCTGTGCCTGTAGCTGGTGTAGAGGCAGCTGTCCAAAGTGCATGGAGAGCACCATCAAATCTACCCTTATCTGCTGCAGAAAGGAATTTAGCTTCCAGTGTATTGTTGGAGGATAGTCTCAATGTAGTATTTGCTAAGTATAACATAAGATTCAGGGCATTTTTGATTTGCAGGATCCAAGTACATCTGAACCTACTCGCTCTGATTGTGAATGCCAAACAGATCACACCTGCATAAAGCTGGTTCTGGAGTTTATATTATTTGTAATTTCTCTCTGCAGCTCCATGACGTGATTGATCAGCATTAGATCTGGACTGTAGGAGATGAAAGATACTGTTCTTTTGAATTATGAGCAGGTCAGATGAAAAGGCAGGTACTGAAAGGGCAGGGTACTGCAAAGGCAGGTGCTGAAAAGGTAGTCCCCCAAATGTGGCTGTGATTTATGCAGAGAAAAACATCAGCAGAAGAACTTTAAAGAGCTTTTTCTAAATGTGCAAATGAAGGTGCTCATGCAAAAATATTCCTTACCAGGACTATACACACTATCAGCAATTCCATTGTTAAAAACATGTTATTTGTCTTACTTTATCTTAATACCTCAGCACATGGATTTTCTGGGTTACACAACCTGCAGTTTGTAATTTTTTTTTAAGTTGTTTTTATTGCCATAAAGCAGAATCTATTGATTATTAGATTGCACTTTTACTTCCTTTGCACTTGCAATACTTTTAAATAAATTTAAAAATCTAAAAGCATCACTTCCATCAAGAGATTGCAGTTCTAAATTTGTATCTAGTATTTATATCTAGTATTGTATCTAAACAAAAGAATCTATATCTCATAGTCAATTGAAGCCTCTCCTGAAGAGCGAAAGGTAGAAGAATTGAAATTGCATGTCACTTTTTTGCCCTCTTTAAGAGCTCCTGTTTAGCAGGTGATATTTTAGCTCTATATCTACACATTTTTTGAACATTTTTCCTAGAGAATATTGCTTACGTTATTGCCCATGACCTTTACCACCATAAAGAAAGCAGGGGTTTTGTTGCTTTGTTTGGAGGGATTTTTAAGAAAATAAACTTACCTCTTAAGAGATCCCTTTTTATTTATTGAGGTATTCAGTTTCTGGGTGGTTTGTTACAGTCAGTGAAGCCAGGAGTGGATACAGATTGTGAGGGTTGTCTTTCTAAGCTCTGCTGGCCCTCGCTCCTGAATCTTAAATTCCAAGAAAGGGCAGAGTCCACCCAAAACGAATGCACATTTTTGGACTTCACTGATCCATGAGCAAATTAAACTTTGTTTCTTCTCTATTAGTAGATGTTTATGCCTTCCCCTGGTTAAGACCAGAATGAACTTGTTTTCCATGTAAAATAATTACAGTAGGCAGTTGCAAATGGCTTTGTAACTTTTTAAAATTAAATTATGGTTATTTTGCAAACCAGCACTTTGTGGTGGAGGATGGTATCTGTGTCCTGGTGGGTCCACTGAATTGCCAAGGCATTGCAGGCTGGGTGTTCCCATGCTCCATGGATGCACAAAATGACACTTCTTTTCCCTTTTTAATCTGTTCAAATCTTCAGCTGCAGCAGGTAGTTATTTTGGAGCTGCCACACCTAAGAAATACCATCACAAATACTTATTTGCACAAAGTAATTTCCTCCTTCTGCATCCTTAAAGAGTTGCAGTGCTGCTTATTTAATTCCCTCCCTGTCGAGCATGTCCCCTCTTCATTTGATGGAGGTGGAATGTCAGAGCAGGTCCTTTTTGGGAAGGCAAAGAGCACATGAGGCTGCACCTGGGAAAGCACCTGAGTTTTAGGCACATCAGGTGCTCCGTGGGTCTTGTGTGGTTGACTGAAACAAGCATCAAAGTCTCTTCCTTGGCAGAAGACCAGTGTTCTTCTATCTATAATATTGTCATGCCCTCTTGACATCACAAGAAGGTTTGGTCTCAAAAGTTGAGATTATATTTTGCAAAGGGTGATCTAACTTTGATTTTTTTTTTCCAGGTTTGATAGCAAAAGCCTGATTAACTGTTGAATCATCTTGTCTTCTATGAATTTTGCTTCAGATTTAGAGACACAAAAATATCAGACTCAGAAAAAATGGGATGCTCAAAATTAAACAGCTTCTGGGGAGGTTAGGTGCCCTTGTATAAATAGCTCACTTTAAGTCAATTCCTGGTAAAAGAATAGGACCAAGTCTTTTAATTTATCTCATCAGAAGCTAATCAGCACCTAATGGTGTCTTGTTTTGAGAAACTCCTAACCTTTCTTTTTTTCTAGTAAGTCTTTGAAAGCCAAATTCAGCTCAACTTTCAGACTTTTAAAGGAAGTGAATAAGTTTTAAAACTGTGCTGAGAAGATTGGAAATAACAGCAAAGAGGGGTAGAGGTCTTCTGTGTAAAATGGTAACACAGCTTCTCCTTCTGTATCATTTTGGTCTCCTTTAATGCAAAATATACCTGCAATAAAATGAGTTCCAGAGAGTTGGAACAAAATGTTAAGGAGTCAAAAAGCAATTTCCATATGAGCAAATCAGAGGTAGTAAGATGTCTTAGTTTCCAAAGAGGGAGAAGCTTAAGAAAAATTATGCAAATGGTATAGGCAGTTAACTAGCAAGGTACTTGAATTTACCAAGCTTTGTGTCTAGTTCAACTTCAGAATCAATTAATGTAATTAATGTTAATTTTAGAACATTTCTGTTGGATACTTACAGATCCATCTAGCACAGTGCTAGAATTAGATCTTATCCACTAAATTAGGTGGCAAGCCACGAACATTTACTGGTACAAGTTTGTTCTCCAGCACTATATTGAATTTATCTTTCAGTGTCTTCTCAACCTCTTCATCTGTAAGAGTTGTGATGTGCACCAGGTCCATGTCCTCTGTGTAATTATACTTCATTTTAGTCAAGGTCCATCCAACTAAGGCAATGAGCCCTTCAGTGGTCTGGAGACTGCAGAGTGACTTCTTCCGAAGTATGTTATCTGGAGACACTTGTAGGTATGTGTTTAACTCCTGAAAGTCATTTATATGTCGTGGCTCAAGAGTGAATCTATATAATTTTCTGATGTTCCCCAATCCTGGAGCGTCAGTGAAGTAAGGAGCCTCACTTTCCTCAGGAATATAATGCTTCCTTTTGACCTTCTCAAAGTACCAGGTGCCATTGTCTTCCATGAAGCGGAAGATTCCAGGGACCTGGGGTTGATCCTTCCCAGAAATCAGCCTCAGTGGCTGCCACATCTGGTAGGCACCACCAAAACCGGCATCTACGATGTAGGAATTTCCCTGGATCGCCACCTTCAGCAGGATATGGTTCATCGCAGCAGCGTACGCCTTCTCTGCTGGGTCATAGCAATTCGCACCAAGAATGCAGATGTCATACCCTAATTCTTGCAAGGCCCAAAATAAAAGGTAGTTGGTTTCCAGGCACCACCCACCACGTTTCTTTCGCACGATCTTATTGTAAATGGGCTGTAAATCCAGCTCGATGGTCTCCCCGCAATGCATGCTGAGGTTCTCAAAAGGAATTGCCTGGACGTGATGCTGGAAGATGGCTTTTAAGGTTTGCAAGTCTGCATCCTTATGGGGCTTGTTGTAAGATATTCTTCTGAAATACTCTTGAATGTTCATTTTGCCTGTGTGAGCAGAAAAACAGCCAGTTACTGCTGTGCAGCTGTCAAGGGCTTCACTCCTATTTTTGTAACACAGGTTAACCAGCCTGCAAACATAGCCTGGGCCATTTCACTGAGGATTTGAAAGAAACTTTTGCCCCTGATAGGAGACAAATGCAGGCTAGACCTGCCTTTGGCATTTATATTTCTTGAAAAAGAGACAAGGATGGGAGCAGGCAACAATAATGCTTTCCCTCTCTCAGGTGTTGCCTTCAAACCAGATGGATGTCTTTCCTGTGGGAAGACACAGCACACACCATAACAGAGTCTCTGGCCACAGATGAGGATCCCACATGACAAAAGTTTTCTAAAACTGGCAAACAACAAGTTTGCAGAAAAGCTGTTAGACCATACCAGCATAAAAGTCGCAGCAGGTTCCCACTGTTTCTTTTACCAGGTAAGCAATTCTTTCTTTATCCCACAGGTAATTTAACCAGAAGGTTTTACATTCATGGCTTCATTTAACTGGGATTAGCATCTCAGTGTGTCACCATTTTAGACAGGCTTCCATGTGAAGTAGATTGTTGTTTTCGTAATCTCCTAAATTTCCCTGTGGAGTTTAGACAGGGCTTTGGCCCTGGCTGTGAAAGGAAGGAACTGTTAATTTTTCTAACCTAAGGGTTAGAGGAACTGGTAATTACTAAGAATACATACAAGGTGTATTCATCATCTTTTGGGGTTTTTTTACCATCTTGTACAAACCAAAAACTTCTATCTCAGCTCGAATTATTGGAAATATTTTATGTCTTTAGGTCTTTGATCCCCTTTCCTTTCATGAGAAAGACACTGTCATTGGTACTGGCTGTGTGGTCAAAGTGCAAAAGGCTCCCTGTAACACTTCTAATCCACTGACTCATCCAGTCTCTGCAAGGATTTCTCTTGCCTTTAGTTTAGGTTTAATTTGGCTTTTTTCCATGGAAGGATATTTGTTTTCCAGAACAATTCACCATCTGCTAAGGACTGTAGTAATTTCTAAAAAGTCTGAGATTTCTTGCTCAAAGTCGGTCACGTGTTCCCTGGGAAGATTTTCCAAAAATCATTTGATGTGGATGAGATCAAGAAACTCCCTTCTGGTGACTATTTTCAGCTTTGCAGTTTGACCCCATGCCCATGCCAGCACTCAAGGGAGTGCTGGGAGCTTGTGAAAATCCCACCTCAAACCCATGGGTGGAAATGCCCCCACCCCAGCAGGTGAGCACGTCAGACGACCTGATCTCTAGACTTTAACCCCAACCTTGATGCCAGCAGGACAACTCACATGACTTAGTTGTAATTGCTCCTGATCTCCACTGGTACCAGGATTCAGACTGGCTGATGCAAAGCCACAGGAAAATGTGATAGAATAGAGGCCTATCCCAATAAGGGAATAAGAAACAAACATTTTCACTTCAAAAGGACCCGAGGAGGCTACATGAAAAAACAGTAATGTCTCTTTGATACTGCATTTTATGGTTTTTTTCCATCCCTTTTTTAGGACAAGGGCACTCATCTCTGGCAGGATCTGCTTTGAAAGACTTGTAGGAAGCCATTCCCTCCCCAACTCACAGTGCACATGTATGCTGGCAGGCTCATCCTGTGGTTTTCTGGTTTATTTTTCTTTTTATTCTCACTTTTAGCAATTTTGCATAGCAAGATAGAAACATCTTTTCCCTGTGATGGTGTCCAGCTGAACCTCTGTGACCAAGAGGGCTCCAGGAGAGTCCATTAATTAGCCTGGTGTGTGTGATACAATTAAAATTTGCCTTCAAGCAAAAACCCGATGAGTCCCTGCCCTGGTCCAGCAGCAGAAGACCTGATGCCCTCTCTATAACCCATCTCCTGGGTCTGGGTGTTCCCACTGCTCCACTGAGAGCTCAGCATGTAACCAGTTCCCCTCTTCTATCCATGAGCAACCTCCCCATGGAGAGCCTCCGTGGGGGGCTGGCAATGAGGCTTTAGGAAAACACATTTTGGGAAATTCTTGGCCCGTGCCTCAGTTTCCCCAGCTGCCCCTTCTCTGGCCTCCTCAGTGTAAAGCCTGGATCAGAGACAGCCTTTGGTGGCTGGCAAAACGTGCTCTGATCTCAATGAATACTTAAAGAGGTTTAAGTATAATAAAGCTGCACTACAACATCAGTGACATCAGGGAGCACCCACATAAATCAGTGTTCACTCCCTCGCCTTCCCAAGGGCAGATTTTTTTTTCTTGGCACCACCATTCCCACTGTGTGAGCTATGAGGCTGCAGCAGTGAGCAAGCCCTCGCCCGGGGGACAGTTTTTGTTCCAAAACTGAGTTGCCAAATATCCCAAGCCTCAGTTCAGCCTTGTTTACTTCTGCTCCTGCAGCAGCTGAGCTTCACTCAGCATTCATGCAGCTTGGGGGGTAGTGAGATTCAGACATTAGTTCTGCCTGCCTGGAAGAGCCCTGGGGATCGCTGTGTCCTTCCATAATCAGGGTGAGTGTTAGGAACAGTTCTTCTCTGCTAAAAATCATGAGGGACTTCCAAGTGGATCCTCTTGCACATGCCTGTGCTATTTGTTTGATTTTTAAGTCACGGTGTGAGTCAGTAGCTGGCTCAACATAAAGGGGTTAGTTTAACTCTCAAAGCATTGCTGTACTTGGAAAACGCCCTTGCCATGCAACACACGCCATTGGCCCCTATGTTCCTGTAATTTGTGCTTTGCTAATATGCCTCCAGTGCTGAGCACATGGTATGCAGACCCACAGGGGTGGGCTTTCCCAAACTGAACTTCTGGGCTGACCCAAGGCTGCAGGGTGAAGTTAAAGATCAGGCACTCAGCACTTACCTCTCAGGCAGTCAGCTCAGGCTTTCCACGCTGGTTTGCTCCAAAGTTCCCAGGAAGAGCTGCACTGGGAACTGCTGCTCTTAAAGGTCCAGGCTGGCTTTACTGCCTGTCAGGGACAGTGTTATTCTCTAGCACGGCAGTAAAAGAGATGAGAATTTCTTCTTTTATAACAGTTTCTATTCTAATTGTTTTATTGGTTTATTTGCACTGGCATATGTGTAGATAGCCCTGTCATGACGGAGAGCCTGGAAATGATCCAGCCCCCAGATTGCTTACAATATTGAGTAGATTTTAACCTTCCATGTTACTGAATGAGAACTGAAGCCCTGCAGAAGTACAAAGGAAAAAAGCAGTATGGGTATCGTGACCAACTTTTGTAAGTGGTTATAACCCCTATAAACCCATCCCTGACCCTGCAGGTCACCCAGGGGCTTCAGTCCGTGGGGCACCTTGATGGGTGCTCCCAAGCTACAGCAGCAAAGAAATAGTGCAAATTTTGATACAGATTTTATATTGCTGACACTCATGTAGTCTGGATTCCTGTAGGAAGTGACTAGTGATAGAGAGTTATCCAAGGCAAGAAGTCACTGTTTCATTGATGGGAATGGCAACTGTTGAATTAATCACACATATTCCTCATGGGTGATACCAGCCCTCCCCAAAGCAAGAAGATCAGATTTGCCAAATCATGTAGCTGTTTAAATCCCCTTGGGTTCAAAAAGAAGCCCTGTTCTCCAGCAGCAAGGACACTGCTCCCAGAGAAGTCTGTGCTCAGGGAGCCTGCTGTGCCTTTAAGGATTTGCCTCCAAAGTTAGTGACAAGGAAAAAACAAACCAGTGCAATTGGAGATGAAGAACCTCTTTTTTTTTTTTTCCCCTTCCAGCGGCAAGTTTCATTTGGTTGCTCAGCAATCAAATCTGCCTCTGTGGGTGTGCTGAGCAGGGGCCAGGAGTGCTGAGCTGTGCCATGGAGGGGCAGCAGCCCTGGCAGTGGCCGGGGCACACGGTCCAGGCGATGTGTCAGCAGAAAGAAAGTGGTTTTCCCTGTTATTGCCCTTCACGTGTCGAATCTCTGGGACAATGGATGTAATGCTCTACTCTGATCTTAAAGGTCTATGATTTTATGGTTCTGTAGTCCTTGCCCCGAGCCTATGGAACAGTATAAAGTGCAAGAAACACCCAGGCACAGGGAGAGGAGCGGGCACAGCCCCTTCTAGATGTTTCCTATGTCTGTTCCCACAAAGGATGGAGCTTCTTGGCTTTACATGGATCTCCTTCTGCTCCACAACTTTGCAAGACCTTCTTGGACTTTTGCCTGCATCCCAATGCTTTGCCCCAGCTGCCAGGCTGCTACAAGGACAAACCTCCTGAGTTTAGCTCCTTTAGCTCTTCCACTATTGCAGGGACCACAGAAAGACACAGACCACAAACAAACCATATCCTGGGACAATTTCTTCTGATCATCTGTGTTGCAAGCTGCTGGTCCACACCATAAGAAACCCCTTTTTCTTCTGCAACCCACTACAGGATGTCATTAATATTTCATTTCCCTATGGGGTGGGAGAACCTCATATGCTATAAAGGACTATTGCACACCTGCAGCCAAGCACATATAGATGAGTTTGGCTCTGGGGAGAAGGGGATTTGGGGAGCTCACTGTGTCTCTGTGAAATACACTTTGAACGTGCAGAATAGCAGCAGCATTTATTCACCATAAATTGCTAGTTATAGAAAGCTGCACATACTGCATACCAAGTAAAAAAGGTTCAGTGAGTTATTGTGTTTTTAAAAGCCTTCGCTGCAAAATATTAGCACATAAAAATAATCAGGACAACTGCAGTGATTAATGACATTTTTTACTTTGGGAATACATGCTGTAATTTGGGGGGGAAATGTCTGAATAATTCTGCCACACAATGCTTGATTTTTTTTTTATTTAACTGTAAATCACTTCTATAATTTACTAAATTATAAGTGCATAGTTGTAATGTTTCCAAGATTTGTACATGAAGGAACATCAAGTATCTTCTCAAAGGGCAAAGTGATCACATTTGAGTAATTTCTCCCACTAGAAATCTTAGCCTTTAGGTATGTGATTAAGATTCATCGTTTCTCCTTTTATCAATATAATTTGTATCACCGCGAACACATCCTCAGTAGAACAGATATGTTTCAGATAAATAATTCTGTGCCTGTTTTTGGGTTCAGCCATAATAATTAATGTGCAATAACACTCAGAGTGACGAGAGGAACATATATTCCCAGCAGTCTGCTGCTGGGTGGTAGCAAACAAAATGCTCAGGAAATGCTTTCAGTTTGAAGAAATACTGATTTTTGGTTATGTCACTGAGAGAACAGGAGTCATGTAAAGTCTGAAACAAGACAGAATTGTCGCTAATATTTCTTATCATCTGTTTTAGGCCATAAATAACCTGTCCTTAAGTATTCTCACGGTGCAGCACAGGTGTGACACCATCTGACTGCCATGTGAGAGGGTGTTGTGGATGCAGGAGGAAAAAGGACAGGCTTGTGGAGCCAACTCAGCACAGGATGTCTTTGTTTTTCTGGCTCTTAAATTCCCAAAATAATATAGTGTTCATTTAAGAGGTGGATATGATTTTCCCCAGGTGGCAGCACCAGGTAATTAAGAAAGAGCCATGTGGTTCCATCGTTCTGCCCAGCTACTCTGGGTGTGTTTAGAGAAGCTTTTAAGAGATGAAAGGAGTAGGGAATGGGCAGAGTGTGCTCCTCGCTAAGCACAAACAGAGGACAGTGATTTGATTGAGCTAGGAAGGAATTATTTGTACTCAAACCAAAAAGAGATGTAGGAATAGTTGTGAAAATCCATTTCTTTTCCAGATTTGTGCTAGTATGTTCTGCTTTACACTGGTGTAGATGGAAGGGAAAAGCTTAACCTTTAGATGCTTCTCAGGAAAAGGGGGAGGGATTGCCTGTAATGCCCCTGAATCGAATTATAATTCAGGCAGTGAGTTAGAACAGAGACAACCTGCTTGTATTGACGGGTACAAATTTCTTGTCTAGCGTTATATTGAATTTCTCTTTCAGTGTTTTCTCTATTTCTTCATCTGCAAGCATTCTGATTTCCACAAGATCCATATTGTCCCTGTAATTGTACTTAATCTCAGTGAGTTTCCACCCCACCAGTGCCCGGATGCCGTCGGCAGTCTGCAGGCTGCAGATAGACTTGGTCACGAAGAGCGAGTCGGGCGCTGTCTGCAGGTGGGCATTGCAGCCTCTGAACTCTTCAATGTCTCGTGGCTGAAGGCTAAAGAGGTAAATCCGACGGCAAACTTCCTCTTCCACTTTGTGGGAAGTGGAGTCACCATGGTTGGTAACCCACTGCTTCCTTTTCACCTTCTCGAGGTACCAGGTCCCGCTCTCCTCCAGGAAGCGAAAGACCCCGGGAGTCTGCGGCTGATCTGTCCCTGAAATCAGCTCCATTGGCTGCCACAGCTGGTAGGCCATCCCAAACCCCCCATCCACAATGTAGGATTTGCCATCAAGCACCACTTTTAGCAGCAGATGATCCATTTCCTCTGGGTAGGCGTCGTGCTCCGGGACATAAACTTTTGATCCCAGAAGGGTGACGTCATAGCCAAGAGTTTTCAGGACCCAAGACAAAAGGTAGTTGTTTTCCATGCACCAGCCCCCACGTTTCTTCCTCACTATCTTGTTGTAGGTCGCTTCCAGGTCCAGCTCAATCGTTTCCCCACAGTGGATGCTGAGGTTTTCAAAAGGGACAGCTTGGATGTGGTGCTGGAATATATCTGACATAGTACCCAGGTCTGGCTTATTGTGGGAGCCCCGGTAAGAAATTCTGGCAAAATATTCCTTGATGTCCATTCTGCCTCTGAGAGAAGGGTGGGGAAAAATAATAAGTTGTGTCAGAAGTGATGGAAGGCTCTTCCCATTCCTTATAATGGGGCGCTCGGAAGAGGAGCGGGATTTGACTAATGTCTGTCTCAAAGGCAGCTGAGTATTAGCACTGAGAGAAGCCAATGGGATGCTGCTGATGAGCACAAATGTTATTTTTATTTGCTTCTTTTACAGCTGTGATGAGAGGCTCCAGCTGTGCTAAGCACATTTCAGCAGAGTTCCTGCCCAGCAAAGCTACAAATCTCTGTAGGAAGGAACAAAAGCAGTAGCAGAGATGTTTCCCTGCTAGAAACGATAGGAACTGAGACTCTCCAGATCTGAACTGCTCATGGTTTGACTCATCGAAGCAGAAAACAAACCCTTCCACTCTTGCAGAGCAATCCAGAGCCTCCTCTGCAACCAAACATGAAACAAATCTGTCCTGCTGTGGTATTTCTTCATTATTTAGGCAGCCTGGCACGAGCTGGTCTCACCTGCTCCTGCTCTCTGTGCCGGCAGTAGCAGATGTGACCTGGAGTGCAAAAGGCTGCTTTAGGGCAGAAAAGGCTGTGGGAGGTTTTTTGCTGCATCTGCTGTGAGCTGCCTCCCCCCAGCACAGCTTAGCTCCCCAGCTCTGCTAATCACACGCCAGCAGCAGGACGAATCCAAGGTTTGGGCCAAAACTACAAGTTTCAGGGGGTCTCAGATTTTCTGGCATCATTTTTCAGGACGCATTTGCTCCTTCTACTCATGGTCACCCCAGCAGTGGGTGTCTGCCCAGGGGTAAGGGAGCATTGCCCTGATGTGGGATGGCAGAGGGCTCAGTATGAGGCTGTTTCATAAATATGGGGGTGGAAAGCAGCTCAAACCCTCCCAGCCCTTTGTGGAAGGAATGGGATTTTGATGGAGCCAAGTACTTTTGTTGTTCCTCCCCAGGCACTGCAAAAATTCAGGCAACTGTAAGTATGGAACAATGTTGTTCAGATTGTTAACCCAAGAGGTCCCAAAATGTTCTTAAGTTCCTGTATACAACTCTCAAAGTAAAATCATAAGATAAACTCCAACAGTTCCAACAGGATTATATTCTTGACCTGATGAAAAACAGCACAGCCAAAATTGTATGGGAATTTTGGAAAGATACTTTCAGTACATAAACAAAGCAATGAAAATTAAAAATTCCCATTTGGTGTAATACCCTGGCAGAAGCAGAGGGTGTTTTGGTTTGCCTCCCCACACCCTTTCAGATAGAAGCTTTACAGAAGTCTTAACTGTTGCATCATGGCCACTCCCATGTTTCAACATCCTACAAGCAGGCCTGAGTGATCCACTGTGGGGTTAAGAGCATCAGATTTAGGGCATTCTCTTTGTTCAGCTTTTGCCTGTTCCCAAGATTTTCCCCAAAGCCCCAGAACTACAACTCTATTCATTTCTGAAAACTTGGCATAAGCTTAGTTGTTGCCGTGTGAATTTTAAACCAGCATCACCAGCAATGAGCTGTTTTTCCCTTTCTTTCTCCCTTCCTTTCCCTTTACCACAGCAGGCAGAACTCGTGTAGTAACTTTTACTTGCAGAGAGAATGTTGGTGTGGGCTTTGTCTGTCTATCTGTCCGTCTCTTGCAGGTGTTTATAAGGCTGTTTTAACTGAAATTAGGCAGATGGCACAAATGCCTGAGTTGCTTCAGGCAGACAGCTGAGTAAATAAACCAGTGTATCTACAACACTGAGCAGCTGAGCTCTCCCTGCTCTGCCCTTACACCATTTCTGCTGTGTTTTGTCTCCAGCCAGATTTAACTTCCTGGTTAGACAGCGCTCAGCTACCAAGATCCGGGGGTTAAAATAAAGGCTTACCTGGAAAATCAGTTCAAGCACCAGGATACCTCCAGGATTTGGGGGGGTGGTTCTAGGCTAAAGCAAGTGGAGTGGCTGTCTGTCCTCTGCCTAGCACAAGCAGGGCTAGGACTGCTCTCCAGCTGCTCTTCAGGGGAATGTCTTTTCCGTGAACTTGCTTTCACCCGCCTCTGTCAGATTGCAAAAGCTGGAAAAAAAAAAAAAGCAACAAACCAAACAAGCTCAAAGGGTGGAGCATGAGAGCTGGAGTGAGCCAGCAAAGCCAGCAGCAGCGGCTCAACACACGTGCAAACCTGGCAGTTAGAGCAGAGGCTGCTTCACATTTTCACCTGTTTCCTGCTCTCTGTGGGGACCAGCTCAGGCTGTCACCAGAAGGGTATGTTTTTGTTCCAGTAACTTGCTGGATGCACTCAGGTGACACTTTTTTTTTTCTCCCAGGTATTAGGTTACTGTTTGTTTGGAAATGTGGGGAAATAAATCTTGCACGCGTTCAACCTGAGAAGGATTTTGCACTGTTTCTGAAAATCAGCAAGATTTCGGTGCAGCAACTTGCACCTGCAACCCCCTTGCCCCAGTCAGCAACACGAGAACTTCAGCACTGCCTTTGCTTTGTTTGCTCTCTGTGATTTACATGTGTTTTTTTATTACTGTAAATGTCATAGAATATAAGGAAGCACTGGGACAGCAGTGTCTCTTCTTTGGCCTTTGCCCACAGATATCACCTGTGGATGCCATGGTGGTGAAGATGTTCTCGGCAAAGTGATGGCTATGAAGTGCCAACACATAGGGAGATCCATCCTTTCACGTTTCATGTTTGTATCCACCAATTTTGCTGGCATTTGGCCAAGAGAAGTCTTTTTCATTCTCTGACATATACAGCTGGATTTTTTCCTGTTAGTTCTCCAAAAGTAATTCCAGTCCTTCACATTTAGTATCAGTGGCAAGTTCCACTCAAACACTGATTTATTGGATAATTAGCAGAGATAATAAATCAGATGAAGCAGACACAATAAATCAGATGAAACGGAGATATCTGTGGTAACCCATTACACAGCTCCACTCCCATATCAAAAATTGGCTCTTTATCATCCCATCAGTGGCCAGTGTTTGACCCCACAAGCGAGAACCGATGCCCAAGCCCAACCAATGCCAAGGCACTGAGAGGAATGGGTAACCTGCCCTTGTCAGGCTCCTTTGGGCAGATGCTGTACATGGAGTAATCCCTTCTCATCCCACAGTCTAGGAGCCCCTCGTTTTGACAGAGAGAAGCCAAGAGCTGAGCAGCCAGACCCCAGTGCTGGTGGGAACTGCACTGAGAGAAGCCTTTAGACCCGTCACTGTGTGGTGTGTGAGCAGACCTGGCTGTGCTCCTTCCCAGAGTCATTCGGGACCACAGATGGTGCCAAAAGTGGACACGTGCTGTGCTCCCTCAGGTGAAGTGGCTGGGGATCTGTTCCAGCTAATTTTGGGGTCCCATAAGTCATAAGTTTTTTCTAACCAAGTAGGAGCGAAATCCATTTCCCCTGGTGTTTGGATACTCAGCTTTTCTCAACTCCTCTCCCTAAAACATAGCAGATACTGAGCATTTTCTTCCATGTTTTTCAAATTCTCATCCCAACTCACTACCCTATGCCATTATTCCTGCATATCACTCTGCTTTTTCTTCCCATCCCGCACATTTTGGTCCCCAGGCCATTAAAACCACCCTCCCCAGGCGTGCCTGAGGCCATCACAGGGCAAAGCTCAGTCAGGGAGCACTGAAGGGAAGGAAAGGCTGATCTTGATCCCAAAGCCTTGCTGGAGTTTTTTTGCCTTTCAGCACTGTGGCAGATCACCAGGGTTAATTCCAGGAGTGGTGGGGCAATAAACAACAATCACAGCTGTGGGTAATGGCCACAACTTGCCTGCACCCATCCCCAGGAGCCACAAAGGGCAAAGCCCAGCGTAGGCCAGGTGGGTTGTGGAGAACATGACCACAGAGGGAATGTGCAAATGGGAATGTCCTTGGAAAGGACATTGCTGTCCACCTGGACACTGAGATGCCATTTCCCTTGGCAGGAGCTGAAGCTGCCCGAGCTTTGTCTAGAAGATCCTCAATGTAATTGCACTCAATTTTATTTATTTATAAATTTAAACTGCTGACAGCATTTAATTTATTACTGAAATCCTCCTCTCATCCTAACTCTCCTGAGAGGCCTCATCAAATATCCCTCCCTCCCTGCTTTAATGGAGTATTACATGCTGCAATATCTGCCTGGGGAAATAAAAGCATTAGGTGCCCTGTTTGGGGTAAAAGTCAAGGGTCTGCTCCCTTCTATGATCACCTCCCTGGCACACTGTATAACAAAGCAAGGTATATTAGATTATATCGTATTATAACCAGAATTCTTAATATACAAACTATCTGGTATGCTAGAGGAGCCCATGTTGGTCTGCAGGTCCTCCCATCCCTGAGGGTTTCAGCATAAATGTCTTACATGTAAATGGTCGTAATTCAGTTAAATTCCATTACAAGGGGAACAATCTGCTTTTCTGCATGAATGGCTTTATTTCCTATAAGTTTTGAAGGAAAAATAGAACATTTTAAGTTAAGTGCTTTGGTGAAAAGCATCTGCCTGTTAGGACGAAGGAGAAGTTGCTTCCATTTCACAAGAAATAATTGCACCCTCAACGTGCCCTTCCTGTTTCCATCTCGTGGGCCTCTTCTCCTGGAAGATGCCAGGGGTGTGGTCAAACCATGAAAATGCTGAGGAGAAAGTTCTGAAGGTTGGAAAGGAAAGTTGTGCTGGTTTCTCTGAACGTGTTGGTAGTGGGGTCTGTGAGAGCTGGCGAGCAGCTGGGGAGGCTCCAAGCCATGGTAGCAATGGCTTTACTGGCATTTGGAGACAAAGTGTTGGAGAGCACTGATGAGGAGGATGAAGAAGACAAGGAGAGCAAGGTGCTGTAAATGCTCTTTAATTAACCATAATTAACCAGTTAATAATGGCCATCATGTTAAATTGTCACTGCCTAACAAAAGTATGACAGTGTAATATGTAATGGGGCATCAGCATTGCTGGCTGGATCCTGAGACAGTTTCATTTCACACATCCCAATGAGAACTGTCCATCACACTGTCAAAAGCCTACTCTGGATATTTTCCAAGGAGGGAAATTTGGAAAAATTTGGGGCTGAAATGCTGTTGCAGAGCTGCAGCCGGGCAAAATGGGCATCCATGGCAGAGCCTGCAAATAAAGCAGATGTTCTGTGGGGAAATACTGTTTAAAACTCTTTAATTTCACCACATTTTCACCTTTATTGTCCAGCACTCATCATGATTACCATTACCCAGGAGCTAGCCAGGTACCTCTTGGGTAATTGCAGGGCAATGCATTCTCCTGTGCGGGGAAAAAAGGCCTCATTTGAAATATAGATATTATGTTGGTCTAGTCCAAAAGTCAACATAAGATATCCTGTTACAATTAATTAGCTGATCATCTGCAAAAGCCCTGTACAGTTGCTAATCAAATACATAAAATACACCATGACCTGACCACATGTAATTCCACCCATTTTGGTACGAGCTGCCAAACAAAGAGGGTTTGCAAGTCAACAGTCTCCGTCACTGTCAGGCCCAGAAATGGCTGAGTGTTCCAGCCTGTGCACCATATTGTTGCACCAAAAAATTATTGTTGCAAGATATTTCAAGAGGAAAATATTCCTTAATAATAAAAAGGTTCAATGACCAAAGGAGAGTTATATGTGTATGAATACAAGGGGGTGATGAGCATTCACTCAGCCTCTGAAATTCCTTTGGTGATCCATATATATACTATATATATATACATTTTTTTATATTTATAAGCTGAAAAAAAAATCTTTGTACGTGTGCCTAAATGCAGCAACAGTCACCATTTATGAGCAGGGAAACTACCAGGCTCCATCCTCAGCAGGGTTAAATTGTCCTCATTCCACCACAGCCACGGAGCAATGCTGCTTCTACTCTCCTGGCTTTGAGTCTGCTCCTCCAAAAAGCTCCTGTAACACCAAACTGCTGTTTCAGTGCAAAGACTCTCATGGAGTTCAGTGGGAATTTGGATCAGTCATAATTCAGACAATCAGCCTGGAAGCATGCAAAGCAGGAACAATTACACGAGTTCTGTCATTCCCATTACTCAGATTTATTTTTTTTTTTGGAGGTAGGTGGGAGGGAAACCTTTTATCTCAGTGAAGAGTAGGAAACAGAACGTTACAGTGACAGCAAAGGGGAAAAAAGCAACTGTGCCTTTGGAAAACACATTTTCATTACAATGTACTAACACGCATCAGAGAAATAATATATGTTTGTGATGACAATGTATTGCTGCCACTCCACTGCTGACTTTGGAGTGCAATTGGGGAAAAGAAAGAAGATATGCTCTGGATTCGAAACGCTCCCCCAGACTTACCTTTGTTGGGATTTTTTTGGCTTTCCTCCCTACAATGTGCTCATGGGGGGACACAGGTGTGACTTCCAAGTGGCACTGCACATGTAAATACACTTTCCACATGTTTCTTTCTGCCTCCCTGGTATGTCCACAGCTGGTATGTGCAGAACAAATTACTGTGCACCATGTATAGTGTATGGAAAAGAAGAGAGATGGACTATTCACACCTGGAGCAGGAAGGGAGCAATTGGAGCTGGGAGGAATCACCTGTGGGTTTGCTGGCTGGCAGCCTGCACAGTGCAGTATCCAAGGAGGGATGGAAGGAGGAATGCAGCCCTCCAGGGCTTTGGGAAGGACCGAAAGCTGGGAAGCAGGTTTTAGATTACGTCAGTGCGGGGATCGCAGAGTAGGGAAAGAAATTCAAGGTAAATTGTCATAGCTGGTGGGATCTCAAATCACATCCACTTCTGCATCGCTTGCCTGGGAGCTGAGTGAACCTTTTAAAAAGAAAATTTCAAGTTGCTGAATCTAATCATCTTCCATGAATCAAGGTATGCCAAAAAGCAGCCCTTTCCCAAAAAACAGCTCCACACCTGCTGTGCTGACTCACACATTACCCACAATATTATTACTTTTTTTTCTAGCAAGGAGCAATTCGGTCCTTGATCATATGAACTAGTGAATGGCCTTTGCTGTGAAATGAT